AAATAATCTTAATAGATATTTTTCAAATTTTATATTAGGATTATTATCGTATCTAATTAGTGAATCCTATTTAAATATATTAAAAAATATCTAGAATAATCGAAATTTACTTTATATAAACAAATTTTTAAAAAATTTTAATTATATTTTTATATTTTGGAAAAAATATATCCTAGGAATTTCTTTTATATTATATTATCTATTTATAACAAAAACTTTTCGAAATCTCGAAATTATATTTATTATTTTTATTATTAATTTATTAATTATTTCTTTTTTTAATTATTATCATAACACTGAATTAGTTTTACTTTCTTATGATAAATATTCATTTTGTAACTAAACTTTATAATAAATAATATTTTAAGTTAGAATAAATTCAGAAAATTATTTCATCGATTTATTATGGAACCAAAAAGGATTTTACTTTTATTAATTACGATCATAGCACGAAAAGAAAAATTAATCGAAAAAAACTCGATCCATATTTTAAAAACCTATAATTAATTCTTCAAATTAAAATATATATAAACTCCACTTCCTTAAGGGAAACTAAAATGGTTTTTGAAATAGAGATCGGTTCAAACCTTTCTCTCTGTTTGATCAAACTTTCTAAAACTTTTTCTCTCTGTTTTGCATTATACTATATATTATACTATATATTTAAATTTTTTACCCTTACAGTAAAGATAAATAATTAATTAGAATTCAATCTAATCAGTCCTTTTAGATTAGACTTTTCTTCTTGTTCTTCAGGTGAGAGAGATTCACAACCTGTAATAATCTTTACTTATGTAATAATCTTTACTAAGCTAACTCGGCTACTTCATGTGTAGGTTGTTTGTTGACTGGTTTTCATAATTGTGATTCATTTACTTGAATTATTTATGCTATAAATCCAGATATAAAAATATTATAGTGTTGCCAAAAGAGGAAAAATTGAAATATATCAAGAATTCTCTTTCAAAAGGTTACTGAACTATTTGCTTATTCTCTACTCAGTTTAAACCGAGTAAAATTTATTTTATTCAAACAATAAAGATGATTAACAATCTACCAAACAAAATTCTAATTTTAATACTATACAATATCTTTTGAACAAAAATAACCCTATCTGATTTACCAACCACCCTATTGATCAAATTAGTTTGTAAAAAATAGTTTGATTGTTATCTTTCATTGTTCAAGAATCATAGAACCAAATATATTTTACTACATGATAAAGATTATATTCCCATTGAAAAAACTAAATATTATTTTTATTACGATGAAAAGATTTTTTTAAAATATAATAAAAAGAAATATGAAATTCTCTCTGCTTATTTTAATTCATTACGTTTACTTGATTTTTCATTTCTAACTTGCGAATATTCCAAAAGAGAATATGAACGATGTTTAAAAAAAACAATTCTTCATACATGGGGTTTATGGTTTCTAGACAAATTTTATGATTGTAAAGTATCAACATGCAAAACAAAAGATGAAAAATTTCATTGTCACGAGATTTGTGAGAAATGTTATAAAATTTATTGCCTAAATTTAGATGATGATTTGATTAAATCAATAGAAAATCAAAGTATATTTTTTTAAGAGTTACTTATTTTTATTTTATATAATAAAATCATCTGATTAGTTTCGACCAATCAGATTTTTTTAATTAGCTCTAAATTTCTATTTAAACCCGGTATCTTCTATTTTTTAACACTAAAAGAATATTAAGAGAAAGGTGAGGGAGCTCTCAACTGTATTTTGTTTAAAAATTTATTTTCTTCACTTTATACTAACTCTCACTGGGACTGATTATCTGTCAATCGACATCAATTGACCAATTCATTTTTTAAATATCAAAAACTAAACCTGGATATTATGCTGTACGAAAAGGACGTAAACCAGGAATTTATTTAACTTGGGATGAATGTAAAGCGCAAGTTAATAAATTTCCTAATGCTGTTTATAAAAAATTTTCTACTCATACCAAAGCTCAAAATTTTAATGAAGAAAAACATGAAGTTTCTGTTGTTCTAAATGATAGTAAAATTCAAATTTGGACAGATGGATCATCATTTAACAATAGTACCAAAAAAGCTCAAGCAGGTATTGGAGTTTTCTGAAAAGATAATGATCCTAATAATTTGAGTGAAAGATTACCAGGATCAGAACAAACTAATAATCGTGCAGAAATATATGCTGTAATTCATGCTCTTGAAATTTGTGAAAATAAAACAAAACCTTTAGAAATAATAACAGATAGTAAATATGTAATTAGTATAATCGAAGATTGGATTGAAAGATGGGAAAAAAATAGATATATGAGTTATAATAATAAACTAATTAAAAACCAAGATTTAATTAAAAGGTTAAAAAAACTTATTGACAATAGAATTGGAACAGTTCGATTAGTTTATGTTAGAGGTCATTTAGGAAATTATGAAAATGAACAAGCCGATAGATTAGCCAAACATGGTTCATTGAGAGAAGCAGTTGCAGAAATTTTCAAATTAGAAAATAATATTTGTATTACAGACTATTTTAATAAGAAATAAATATTTTTTATTTTATTTATTTTTTTTTATAAATATGTAAAAAGAATTTCGAAAATGAGATTGCGTTTAGAAGCAATCGCGTTAGTGATTGCTTATCATAAGCATCAAGGCGTTTAAAATTCTTTTATAAACACCAACACGAAGAGGGAGAGAGAAAGAAAGAAGTATATATAATCAGTCCCATATTTTTTTTTTGATGCGTTTCTTACTACGATTTGGTGTGAGGCTAGGACCGTAGCCAAATCAATGATTCGAGAACACCAAATCAACGTAAGAAACAAATCAAAAATTTAATTTAAGTTTATTTTAAAGTTAATAAAAAATATAAAGTTATTTGTGATGAAAAAATATTATTAAAATGAGATTCGTATTGGTGTTCTTATAAATTTGAATCAAAATTATGATTTATACATAATAGTTTTATAATATATAAAACATAATCATAATAGCGGCAGCCAAAAAAAGAAGCTTGTTTGGCAAGACAAAAAGTTTAAATATAATTTAATCAGTTTATAAACCGATTAGATTTTTTTTTATGTAATTTTAATTATTAATAATGTTTGAGTAATAAGCAAAATGCTCTTCTTGACAGAAAACATCGAGAATTTTTAAAACAACATAAGTTTGTTCTTGATAAAAAAAATAATATTATTAAAGAAACTAGTAAAGAATATTTGATAAGCAAATAATTTTTTAAGTTTATCTTTGTATTTAGCAACAAATACATTCAATTTGCTAAAAATATT